GGGGGCAGCAAAAAGTGAGGGGTGTGCGGCTGGTTGGGGGCCCGGGCGGCGTCGGCGTGCAGGCGCGCTGCGCGCGCTGCTGCGATGTTTGCTTGGTTGTTTGTGGATCGTACTGCACTTATTGCTGCGTGTTGAGTCCGCAGCAGCTGCTCATCCTGTGGTGTGTGTGTCTGCCCTTTTCTCCTGACTTGTCAGCGAGTTGCAACGGCACACTGCAGCGAGCCTTTAACCAAGCAACGAGCCGCGCTGTCCCTGCAACTGCAGCGCTACCTCGTAAATGCAAATGGCGAGGAGGGGGTGGAAAGTGTGCGTCGGCGGTGGGGTGCGCGTGGGCCGGTGGGCGCGAAAATAGGTTGTGTGGGGCGTTTGTTTGTGTCGGGCAGGACATGAGAGCGATCCGGCGGCCTGGGCCGCGCGCGTCAGGTGTGCGCACGGGAGGGAGCGGCTTCCAGTGCAAATGTTGCGCGAGGAACCGCTCCGGTGGCGGCGCGGACGGCGTGCCGCGCCGGTGGGATGGGCGGATGATGATGTGGCAGACCTGCACGACACACGTGTTCTCTGTTCCCCAGCGTGTTGCTTTGTCATGGTCGCCCCATATGGTGATTATACACAAGCTGCGGACCAAACATATGGAGTTTGGAGGGCTGGGCTGGTGCGCGCTGCAATCCTGCGCGATCGCCCGGGGGGGGGGGGGGGTCAGCTGCAGTGGTGCCAAGGTCCAGCTGCGTCGCGCTGTTAGGCCTGCGCACGGGTCCGCGCAGCCCGCGCATGCATGTGAGCCATAAAATTTGGTCATCATATGCTTTCCTTGCGTCTCAGCACGTGGCGATGCTTGGGATTGAGCCATGCTCCGTTGGTTTGACCTTCGTTCATGTGTGCTCAGATCGTTTGGACACGGAGTGCATCGCCATGCGGTTGGTTTATATGTAAAATCCAATTATTACGGTACGATCATCGACGGTGTGCATGGTTGGTCGACCACACGGCCATTTCTGCTTGGAGGGTTGACCAATAAGTTATTGCCAAGTAGGGCATTGTACAGCAGCACCTTCGACCTTTCTGTGTTCCAACCTGCTTGAAAACGCCCTAACATACTTGGGGGTCTGCAGGCTGGGCACTTCTGGAATGACGTGGCAGCTCTGCACTCATCTCCGACGTGCCGCGCGCGTGCTCTTGCGACGCAAACCCCCAGCAGCACGACCTTTGCCCTTCTCCCTTGGGCCTTACCGGGATCCTCTCTATCCCTCCCTCGATGCCCGGGGGCCCTGGAAGTTGGTTTGATGCTCCTGGCGGTGTGTTTTTGCGGCCGTGGGCTCACTCACCTTGGGAGTTTTGATGCCCCCGCCACCGCCAGTCTCAACTTTGGCCGAGCCCGCTGCCACACGCGCGGGGGCAGTGACGCCACGTACACGATTAGCGAGCCAAACCAACTTTCCAAGTCAATGGCTTCAATGGCCAGCGACTTCTTGCCATTGTTGCTTGTGACGGATTTGCCCCGCTGCCCTGACAAGCCGCCTGCGCCCCCCCCTTTGTCCAGACTGAGAATCAGCAGGCTGAAAGCCTTGGTGCTGCCGAAGACTAAGTGCAGTCGCTTCCCAGCAAGCGCTATCTGGTTGCCGCTGTACTGATTGACAACATCCCAAGCCACGCATGATGCACGAAGGGGGGGGGGGCGGGGCAGTGCTGCTGGCGCGGCATACCTTGCTTGGTTGCAGTGGGGTCCAGGGCAAGGGGGCGCTGGCCCATTTGCATCCCACGGAGCAAACAAATGAAGGGCGGAGCAGGCCCCAGGGAGCCTGGGTCCTGCTGTCTGGTGTGTTTGAATTGAACCCTGGACTGATTGAGCTGGAACCCAACACGAGGAGATGGCACCAACTGCAGGTGCTTGCTACACGGTTCTTCTAGGCCCCAGCACTTCCTATCATAAAAGCAGAAAATAATGTTTGCCATATTGCAGTAGATCTGTTCAGCGGCAACCAACTGCGGGTCTGTTTGTCAGACCAGCTGCTTGCCTCTGTTTTTGCGTTTCTGTGTTTCGAGGCTTGCTTTGCGAGCCTCGTATTGTTCTCAGCACGGTCCCCTACAGCTGGCCCTGCTGTGCATGCTTATTCTGGGTTGTCGGCGTCCTGCCTCAAGACGATTGGCCGCCTGCCAAAGCGGCGCATCTGGCCCGACCTCTGCCAAGGGGGCTATTGCAGAACGTTCAGCCTTCGCCCACCTGCGCACCTCGCCCCTAAAACCCTAGTTTCCCCCGCCCCCCACTCACCCACAATATCTCCAGAGCCCCACACCAGCCACCCACTCAGCTCGCGTGAGCAACATCACACTTGCTCCATCTACCAATGCAATATTGGTGTACATCGTAACACGATATGCATGAGATTACAAAACGTTGCGCATCAAATGGTGTCAAGCTCATCGATCATGCGCACCCACACTTCCGCCCACCGCCGTTCGTGCTCCGCCCACGCGCCGACCCGCGCCCTGTGCGAGGCGACGACGCCGGCCATGTGTCCCTCAAACTTCCGGATCGCCGCCACGTAGGCGCGCACGCACGCCCTGTGGCAGGGCGTGTCCACTGCCGTCACCTCACAGTCGGCCGCCGCCTCGCCCGCCGCCGCTAGAGAGGGCGCGCCGCCCGCTGCCGCGCCTGGGGCCCCAGCAGCAGCAGGGGCGTCCGGCCAGCCCAGGCTCCGCAGGTCGAGCTGGCCGGCTGATAGCAGCCACGTGCCCGTTGTAAACGGCCGCCCTGCCGCCTGCGACTCCCCACTCGCGAGGGCCGCAACCCCTGACGGTGCCGCAGCCCCGCCCGGCGTCGCGGCGTCGGCGGCCGCCTTGGCTGCGGCTTTGGTGGTGCCAGTGGGCGAGCCCGGTTTGGCGCCAGCAGGGGCCGGCCCCTTGCTAGATGACGGCGCGCCCCTACCTGTTGGGAGCAGTGAGGCAGGTGGCAGCACATCTAAGGTTGACAACCGTAAGTTCATCAGTGAGGCATGCAGCAATGGCACAGCGCCAGACCCAACCGTTGTCGTCGGCCTTTCGAGGCACCGCGTGCACACAAATCACGAACTGCCTGCTGAGACCAACGCCCAGCCTCGCCCACCTGCCGCCGCCGCTGCCGCCTTGGCCACTGACGCTGGCACCACCTCCGCCTGCGCCAGCGCGAGGCGCTCCAACTGACGCAGGTCCCTGCGCCCCAGCAGGCCCGAGGTAGCGCCATGCGCCACCGCCCCTGCTGCCGCCCCTGCTGCCCCCGCTGCCCCTGCTGCCCCTGTTGCTGCTGCCCCTGCTGCTGCTGCCCCTGCTGTTCTATGGTCGCCCTCTCCGCCCGTCGCCTCTCCCGGGGCCTGCGCTGGCTCTGCAGCAGCTGGCAGAAGGTCCGCCGGCATCACGAACCCATCCAGCAGCTGGAGCAGCAGCCGCGCCCACTCACGCGCCGCGCCACGCAGCGCCGGCGCCTGCCGCGCCACGAGCGCGGCCGCCTCCCCCGCGGCGCGCGCCGTCAGCCGGGCGGCCGCCTCCTGCCTCTCCGTTTCCCGCGACCGCAGGGCATCCAGGTCGGATCTCCGGCCTGGGTTTAGCATCTCTGGGTGCAGGCTGCGCTTGTGAATCTCCAGGGATCTCACGGAAGCCGCGCGGTCGGCGTCCAGGGCACGCGCCAGGTCAGCGTGTTCCGAGTCAGTCAAGTCCCGGAGGTGCAGAGCCAGCGCGCCGCACGCCGCCGCGGGCAGGCGCTCCAGCAAGCGGTTGGCGCGGATTACCTGTTGCAGGCCAGAGGCGCGAAGGGGGGCGCATGCACGAAAGCGACGATTGCTAAGGCTCCTTGTAGCGCAGCAGCCGCGACAATCTGCTGCAAAACCAAGTCGCAACGATTGCTTCAACCGCCACAACTGCCCCTGAAAACAATTCACTGCCCTGCGTTGGACAAAGTATCAAGATGATCTGATCAAGAAAACACCCCATACAGGTGGGAGCGCGGACAGACTTACCTGCAAGCGCAGCTGCCGCGCCCCCGCCTCAACATGGTCTGCCAGCTGGCGCCTCAGGGCGCCCAGCACCTCGCCAGTGGAGGCCAGCAGAGCGTCGAGGGTGGCGGGGATGCGCGACGGGTAGCGGATGGGCCGGGACGGGTCCTGCAGGGTGTGAGTGGTTGATCAGGTTGAAACTGATGGGGGCTGGCTTAGGTGGCCTGACTTGGGGGTTTGGCTGGGCAAACTTGGTTAGGGCTGCATACATGTACGCACTAGTATACACACATACATACACGCGTTTTGTTGCCCAGCAGGTTGGGCGTCATGTGTTGTCAGAGATAGACGGGGGCGAAGCTACCCACTGCCGCCTCCACCACCGAATGTACGACTGTCCAGCCCACCCAGCTGTCCTGCATACCACCTGATCTGGACGCAACATTGAACCCTATCCCACCTTTGATGCATAGTAGGCGCCTGCTGCCTCCTGAACCACTGCAGTGCAGCCGTTGATGACGCCAGCGATGTCCGAAAACAGGGAGGGCGCGGCCGACTGTCCCAGCTGGCCCGCCGCGAAGCCGCCGCCGTCCCTCGCGTCCGCGTCGCCGCTCACGCGCTTGCCCCTGCCGCCCGGCGCCGACGGCCGCCGTTCCGACGCCTCGCTGCTCCCCGGCCGCTTCCCGCCAGGCGCGGGCTTTGCCCCCTTCTTGGCCCCGCCGGGCGGCGGGGACGGCGACCGCGCGCCGCTGGTGCTGCTCGCTGCGCCGCCGCTGCTTGACAGCCCCGGCTGCTGCAGCGGCTGCTGCTGCTGCGGCTGACCCTGCCCCGCCGGGCTCTGCCCTCCCAGCTGCCCCAGGCTGGCAAGGCTAGTGTCGACAGCTGACGCCCGCAGGCCGGTCGACGACAGCTGCTGCAGGGCCTGCAAACGGATGCGTGGGCAAGCACAGGGGGCCGACACAGGAGTTTGAGCATCCCTGGTCTGTGGGCTGGCATACAGCCTGCTGTGTGGGGCGTTGCAAAAAGTCATAGGTCTGCAATTTGCTGTCCCTTGCGGGTGGTGTGCGAGATTCATATGGGGTGCGCGAGCAGCGGCTGCAAGGAAGTCACGCCGTCTCACCTGAGCCTGCCGCAGCAGCAGCACCCGAAGCGCGTCCGCAGCCTGCAGCATCGCCGCGCACCGCTCCCCCGGGCCGCCCGCCCCCGCGGCT